AAAAAAGAGTAAAATTAACAAGTGAATCTCAGTAAAAAAAAAAAAAAAGACAGACATCCCCATGAACCAGCAACCACAGAAACTCTAAGCGATGCACAGATTTGTAGCCACAGGCAAAGGTGTCTGGAGGTCAACTTCAAACAGTACAAGTCCTCCCACTGGAGATAAAGGTGTGCTTGCTGCCTGAAACCACGACTTCAACTGAGCTAGCAGCCTTGATTGCACACCACTTGCTTCATCAGAGTGCTGTAATGTCTCCAGTAGCTCATTACATGCAAACACTACTGCTTCCTTTCCAAAGGTTCCCTTCCAGATTGCCCCTGACTTACAGAGGCAGGCAGCAGGTCTCCCTGCATACTCTCCTTCTGAGCCTTCTGAACTCTCTCTCACCTCTGTGCTTTCTTCCAATCCACTTCGTATTTATAGACCGTCTTTACACAATATCCCTTCTGTGATTTAACATGTCTTAATAATTCCACCTTTTTTAAAGGAAGCCTTTCCCAATTATTTACACCTTGATATGTATTTACCTCCAAATCCTTGTAAACCATCTCTTTATATGGCACTAACTTGTAGAAAGTAGCAGTGAAGTTACTTAATTCTCAGAATGAACCATACAAATTACAACCTACCTTCTATAGCCAGAGACAGAAAGAGAACATAAACAAAAGTAATGCAGTTCATTATTCATTCATATTTACTATGCAAAATGAAAGTTTTATGGAGCTTTGAATAATATATATTTGTTCTATTATATAGGCAACTAATCCTCTGTAGACGGCAATGTATCTGTAATAACACCCTCCCTAATCTAGAATTTTTGGACACAAGAAGATATTAAAACCTCCTCTGTGGGAGGTATAGGACTACGGTCCCCGATGGGCTTTCTCACTGCAGGACAACTAGATTTGCAATCAGTGGCAGCAAATGTAATTCTCAAAACACATCTGGGCTTCAGAGGACACTGGGAACCTAACAAAAGACTTAAAAAATGGAAGAAAAAGACTTAAAAAAAGGAAAGAAGGAAGGTGAGAGAAGAAAAGTCAGTCAAAACCTGATCTGTAAGCCACAAGCTCAAGAGAAACAATTTGAGATACCGGAGAACTAATGCCAATTCTACTACAGGAACTCTGGATCCCTGTGCCTTCCAGACTCCAGTTCCCACCACACCTTAAGTTTGAGGAAATGAATTTGAGATTCCATTTATAAACCAGGATCCTCAAATGGAGCCAAAGTGGTCCCAACCAAGAACCCTCCCAGCCTCCTGGCAAAAGAAAAATAAACCTTCCAGAAAAACACAGGCTTGAAACAGATTAAATTGTTCAATTAAATCTGATTTCAAAATCCTACCACAAAAGTATGCAAGAAAAGAAGCCATGTTGAGAGAGAGCAGATTTAGACAACTGAAGACTTTAAATATTGGAATGATCAGATACAGAATATGAAATGTTACATTGTTAAATGTTCAAGAAAACAAAAGAGGTCTAGAAAGGAACAAGTATCAAAAGTCTATCAAAAGCAACCAGCCACAAATGAGCACCAAACTTAAGTTAAAAACATGAAAAAAAAATTGTGATTTAAAATACAATAGAATGGTTCAGCAGATGAGACCAAGAAACTGCCTGGAATGCAGCACAAGGAGGCTGGGAAAGAGGGTGAAAGCATGCTGGAGACGCATGGAGGAGAGAGCAAGAGTTTTAAATAAGAATCCTGGGAAGTACACCAGGAGGACAGAAAAGAGTCAACATTTGATCAGAGACAGCAGCTATTTTACAGAAATGATACACGATCTGAATCCGGAAATAGAGGAAACACACAGACACCAAGCAAGACAAGAGATCTTCCAGTAGACATTCTGTGGCGAAGCTGCAGGACACCAAAGAGTAAGAAAAAGACTTTAAGAGAAGCCAGAGAGAAAAGGCATTTAAAGCAACAAGTAGACAGGGAACAGAGTTTAAGGCTGCTGCAATGGTAACCAGAAGCTAACAAAATGGTATCTGTAAAGGGTGACACAAGTACTTTTATTTGTCGCTACTGCTAATACTGTGTCTAAAATACCTAACAACCGAAGACAATGAAGATCAATACGGAGTAGATAAAATTGAAAGAATTATGACCCTCAAAAGAAGGGTCACACTAATAAATTTTAAAACTCTGGTGATCAGAAATTCTTAGAATTCCTCAAATTCTTTTTTTTAAAGCTTACTTAGTTATTTTGAGAGAGAGAGAGAGTGCAAGCAGGGGAGGGGCAGAGAGACAGGGAAAAAGAGAATCCCAAGCAGGCTCAGGATGCCAGCACAGAGCCTGATGTGGGGTTTGAACCTATGAACCATGAGATCATGACCTGAGCCCAAGTCAGATGCTTAACTGACTGAGCCACTGAAGTGCCCGTAGAATTTCTCAAATTCTTAAAAAAATATATATAATTTGCCAAACCTGAATCAAGAAAAAATAGAAAACCTGAAAAATCCTAAAATAATTAAAGAAACTGAACGAGTGGTTAAAATCTTCCCACTAAAAACAAAACAAAAAAGCACCAGTTTCAGATGGTTGTTACAGGAAAGACTAAAAAACATTCCAGGAGCACATCATTCCAATCTTATACAAACTATTTTATATAACAGAAAAAGAAATACTTGACACCAGGTTCTATAGGATCATTCAAAAACAATGTGAGGAAAAGGAAATTTAGGCCAACCTCAAGTTTTGAACATAGATCCAAAAATGGCAACAAAGTATGAGCCTCCCCCAAATTCAGAACTGCAATTTACTACATTAATATTCATGAAGGATCATCACATGGTTATCTCAGTGAATGCAGGAAAAAAAAAAATAGAAGTGAACTTAATCTGATAAAGAGTTATCTACCAAAACTTTAAAGAAAACATTGTCCTGAATAATGAAACATTAATAAAACTCTCTTTGAATCAGAAGCAGGATGACCATCTTTATCATGTCTATTTACCAAGGGACTGGAGGGCTGGGTTGGCACCGTAAGACAAGAAAACAGACTAACTGGCAAGCCTGTCATTATTCACAGTCCACCAAGAAAACAACAACAAAAAAATATGTAAACAAAATGTTGAAATTAAATAAATCATGCATGTTCACTTAATCCAGCAGTGGGAATGGAATGAACTTGAACAAAGTTCAAAAACATGGATAAATCTCAGAAATAATGCTGAGTGTAAAAGGCAAGCCACAGATGATTATGTCCCATGTGAGACCATTTTTATTACACTCAAAACCAAACAAAACACAATGCATTGTTTAGGGATACAAATACTTGTGGTAAAACCATTTTCAAAAAAGAAAGGGAAAAGCATAATGCAAGGGAGCGGCTGCCTCCAGAGCAGAGAAAGAACAGGATCATGGAGAAGCACCCAAGTACCTTCTACTTCTTAAAATGTTGGAGGGGGAGGGAGTCAAGAGAATGAGCTTTATCACCATGCTTCAAAACTTGCATTTATGTTATAGATGCTTTAGTAAATATATCAAATGCTACATGTATAAGATAATTAACGGAATAGTTCAAACAAATGATGGTCAGTAAATACATATTTAAGTGACATACTTAATCGAAGCTCCTGTTAAAAAAACTCCTCTGCACAGGTTTCATTCACAGGAGGGTTACCACAGAAAATACATAAAATGCAGTTATTATTACTCTGGGGAAGGAGTACAGCCCTTAAAGGAGACAATGAGGAACCACAGTTACTGACTGCCAGTCACAAGCCAAATACTGGGTGGGAGAGGTTTTCAGATCTGTTTTATTTCATAAATCCACAAACCCAAAAAGTCCATGGAAGCCTTCTCCCCTGGCCTCCCCCTCCAGCCAGCTCTGCAACAAATATGTCCTTTAGAGTCATAAAGTTGACCTCACACCAAGCTAAGCACATGTTTCTGAAAGTTAATTGTTGGTTATCTAGAAATTATTCATGATTTGAAGAGACATGTGCTTAGGTTACATGTGCTTACAATTTTTTTCTAGTATAGGTCCCAAGTTATCAGTAACCTAGCCACTTGTCTAATACATGTAGACAAGAATGACTTTAAGCTTAATAGGTCAAGAACTACACCCAAATATTGTTTCAACTTTTATTTTTTAATTTTTTTTCAACATTTATTTATTTTTGGGACAGAGAGAGACAGAGCATGAACGGGGGAGGGGCAGAGAGAGAGGGAGACACAGAATCGGAAACAGGCTCCAGGCTCTGAGCCATCAGCCCAGAGCCTGACGCGGGGCTCGAACTCACGGACCGCGAGATCGTGACCTGGCTGAAGTCGGACGCTTAACTGACTGCGCCACCCAGGCGCCCCTCAACTTTTAAAAGAATATATGATCCAGGGTGCCTGGGTGGCTCAGTTTGTTAAATATCCAACCATGATTGCAGCCCAGGTCATGGTTTGTGAGATCAAGCCCCACGTCCAGCTCTGTGCTTGACAGCACGGAACCTACTTGGGATTCTCTCTCCCTCTCTCTGCCCCTCCTCAGCTGGTGTGCACTCTCTCTCTCCCAAAAATAAACAAACTTAAAAAAAAAAAAAGAATATATGATCAACACACATTGACACACAGACACATACAAACATTGCAATCTCACTAGTGGTCAGAAAAATATATTAAAAAGAATAAATTTTTGCATGTCAGTTTGCGTATATTTAAAAAAAACTATCACCAGTGTTGGCTGGGGAAACACACACATGACTTCAACATAAGTTTACATATAACTTTACATGACTTTTTGAAAAGCAATTTGACAATATCAGTATTTGAAATGTGTATACATTTCTATCTAATAATTTCACATCTAGGTAACCATATAGGAAAAATTCTCTCACGTTTCCAAAAAAAAAAAATTCTTTACAGCAATGTTTGTAAAAGAGGAAGGAAAGAAATACATGCCCATCACTTTTTTATGTCTTCAAATGAAATTAAGATCTACAATATCATATTTTCAGCAAAAATCTTAAAAGCTAAATGAACTAACAAAAACTTACTTCAAAAAGAAAGAGGATGGAGTCCAGCTCCTCCCTTTGTGACTTATTATTCCCTGGAATACATAAAAAAATTAGTTATCATGACAATGTATAAATTTTAGGATATTAAAAATTATGTTACCTTAAAAACATTTAAACTTCAACATACATTCATTTATTCAAAAACTACAAGGAGGCAGTGTGGAACCCACGTCAGGCATGTACACAGACACCAAGCCAGACCACCCGAGCCCACATCTAGCAGAGTTTCTCCTCGCTAACTGTTTAAACACAGCTTCCATATTTTCTAGGTCACTATCAACCCATGGAAGGCAATTTATTCATTTCTCAATTAGTTACTTCTGAGTTCAAGTTATGATGGACTACACAGCAAAAGCAAAGAAAGAATTCTCATTTTTTTTATATGAAGGGGCATAGAGAAGTCATAACTATAAAAAGTCATGTATCTCTTTAGGCAATTGCACACTGTCCTCTTGATAATAACTAAATAATAAAAACTAAAAACCTATAGCAGCAGTTTCCATTTATTGCCCAGTCTCTAAGTAGTGAGCCCTGTGCTAAGTGTTTGGCATTCAGCATCTAACTTGGAAAACTGTTTCTGTAAAGGGCTGATAGTAAATATTTTAGGCTTTGCAACCTGTCTTGCAAGCATTCAACTCTGCCATGATGGGGCAAAAAGAGCCATGGATAACACATGAATGAACTGGGTATGGCTGTGTCCAAAAAATTATTTATAAAAACAGGCACTGAGCTGTAAGTTGTGGACCCCTGAGGTAACTGAATCCCCACAGCTCTGTGAAGTAAGATACTATTCATTCATTGAACAAATACTAAAGAATGGCTCTATGTCATTCTAAGGATTCTTCCAGGACCTGAGGATGCAGGTGAACAGAACACGACAATCCTTGCCCTGAGGAAGCTTACATTCTGACAGGAGGAGGCATCCAACAAATCCAAAAAAATAAGAGGGAAGGCAGATGGGAATGTCAAAAGACATGGTATGCAATTTTGACTAGGGAAGTCAGGGAACATGGTGCTGATAAGATGACATCTGAGCAAAGATCTGAAAGAAGAAAGGGAAGAAGCCACATGGAAATCTGGAGGTAAGCAAACAAGCCATATGGAAATTTGGGAGAAATGTGTTCCAGGCAGAGGGACTGGACAATGCAAAGTCCTTATGTCTGAACAAGTATGGCATGGTCAGGAAACAGTAAGAAGGCTCTTATGTCTGGAGTGAAGGGGGAGAACTGCATCAGGTGAGGTTAGAAAGCAGTAGGATAAAGGCAGGCAGGTAGGGTCTGAGGCCATTGTAATGACTTCCAGAATTGAGAAGCCATTTAAGGGTTCAGAGTGCTGAGTCATGATCTGACCCATTTTTAAAGCATCATTCCAGCTGCTCTTCCAAAGAGACTCTCAGGGGGGTGCAGGGCGCAAAGGTGGAAAGGGAAAGACCATTTCTGGGGCATGCAATAATCCAGGTGAGCATAATGGGAACACTGGCATTACCAGCCCAGGCAGTGAGAAAAAGCCAATGATTCTGGATGTATTTTGAAGGTAGAGCCAATAAACTCAGGTTTTGGCCTGAATAACTGGAAGGCTGGTTATCACAAGATGATTTCATCATTTATAGCAAACATCTTCCTTCATTCTGTTGTTTTGGTATACTTTCTTCCTAGTACTCCAATCAAAACACAGATTGTATTAACAGCAAGAAACTGCAAAATCTCACCCTATTTTTATTGGTTCTTTACTATGATTCTTTGTAGTAGACTGCAAGAATGAAGTTTTTCCTCTCCTATCAAGAGATACCTATTTCTCTATATGTTGCATCTGAGATGCCACATAGCTTGCTCTGGCCAATGTGACATTAGCAACTGGGAGGTAGCAAGTACAACCTTAAAAAGCCTTTTGCACTTGCAGAGCTTACAATCCTAAGGCCAGCATGTAAAGAGCTCAAGATAGCCTGCTAACATGGAGGAGAACTAAGACGCCCTGGTCAATAGCTTGCCAACTACAAGACATGTAAATGAGGCCATCCACTACCAGCTGATGTTAAGAGGCATAAGCCAGCCTAAACGTGAAGAACTGCTCAACAAACACAGAAAATTATAAGCTAAATGAGTCATTTTAAAGCACTTAGTCTTGGGATGGTTTATAATGTAATTTGTTATGCAGCACAAACTAACTGATACAGTCTTGAGCAATGAGATTTTTCTAAAAGGACAAAGAAAGCAAAAGGGGGAAAAGGAGGCACAGAGGAGCCTTTAAAATGGGGCTTGGGGTGCCTGGGTGACTCAGTCGTCTGACTTCAGCTCAGGGAATGATCTCACGGTTTGTGAGTTCGAGCCCTGCATCGGGCTCTGTGCTAACAGCTCAGAGCCTGGAGCCTGCTTCAGATTCTGTGTCTCCCTCTCTTTCTGCCCCTCCCCCACTTGTGCTCTGTCTCTTGCTCGCTGTCTCAAAAATAAACATTAAAAAAATAAAGTGGGGCTTTTTGGTTGTAGTGCTTTTTTTAAGGTAAGAGATTTTAATATTTTTCTTTGGTGTTTTTTTTTTAATTTTTTTTTAACTTTTATTTATTTTTGAGACAGAGAGAGACAGAGCATGAACTGGGGAGGAGCAGAGAGAGAGGGAGACACAGAATCTGAAACAGGCTCCAGGCTCTGAGCTGTCAGCACAGAGTGCGACGCGGGGCTCGAACTCACGGACCGTGAGATCATGACCTGAGCCGAAGTCGGACGCCCAACCGACCAAGCCACCCAGGCGCCCCTCTTTGGTGTTTTGATTACCCATAATATCACACTTTTCTCCTCCACACAACTGCAAAAAAAAGTTAAGTAGAGCAAAACTGGAAAACAAGTTAAAAATCAAATCGTTTCATATTTGAAATATCTACCAATTTGGAAAAAAATTAAGCTCAAGATTTATATCAATTTGTAAATCACAGGGGAAAAAACTGAGCAATTCATTGAAAAACAAAATACAAAACTACCTGTTGGCATCCTTGGACACATGCCCATATTTGATTTGTTGACCTTCCAGAACCTGGAGCATTCTGTAAAACTCTGAGGCATCTGCTATATGTCAGAGACAACCACAGTGCATTGTCCCACATTCCTTCCCCTCTGTGCCTAACATCTGCCTCAGGTTTTACAGAAGCAGTCAGGGCATCTATACACTCCTCTCTGCGTCCTCTTCTGTATACCTGACCCTGTCTCAACACACGTCCCCCAATACCCTGTCATCAGTTATCTCCCTCTTGTCAGCCTGCAAACAGGCAAGTGTATCCTTCAAAATCCTACCATGACCAAGCTACTCCTTGAGATACGATCCTGTCTTCATCATCAAACAGATGAAGTAAACCCTTCTAAAAGGGTATTCTTGTGCATAGCCTTCACTATCTCACCCTGTTACTCCATTTCTCCCCATCTGGCTTCTGATCCCACTACTCACCTAAACCTTTCTTTCAGCACTCAGGGACAACCTCCTCGATGCATTGCCACTTCCTAGTCCTACTGCTCAACTTTTTGCATTGTCAGACATTGCTGACATTTCATTCCCTGAAATTCGCTTTTCTCTGCGCTTCCATGACAAAACACTTTCCTGGCACCCAACCCGCTTCCCAGCCCACACACTACTTTATCTTTCCTCTTTATCTGCTCAATGAAAGAATGGATTACCCCAAATCCCTGATTGTCACTTTCTCTGCAAAGAATTTCTTCCTTGGCAACAGCATGATTGCCCCCTCTTCTCCTAAGCTCCAGTCCCTATATTTTTACTGTCCAGCCAGAACCAACACCTGGGTGTCCCACAGGCACCTCAACTGAGACTTCCCAAAGCTACACTCATCCTCCTCCTTCCCAAACCTGGCTTCCCTCCAGGGTTCCCACTGCTGTCATGGAAGCTTACAAACCAGACTCAACATTCTGAAAGCATATATGTACCCCTATGCCTACTGCAGTATTACTTACAAGAGTTAAGGTATGGAAGCAACCCAAGTGTCCATCAAAAGAGGATGCAGTGGTGTGTGTGTGTGTGTGTGTGTGTGTGTGTGTGTGTGTGTGTGTATATATATATCTGTGTGTGTGTATGTGTATTTTGCAACAACATGGATGTATCTAGAGAATATAATGCTTAGCAAAGTAAGTCAGACAGAGAAAGACAAACACCGTATGATTTCACTCATATGTGGAATCTAAAAAACAGAACAAATGAGTAAACAAGCAAATAAAAAGCAGTATCAAACTATAGATGCAGAGAACAAACTGATGGTTGCAAGAGGGGAGGTGGTGGAGGGAGAGATGTGCAAAATTGGTGAAGGGAAGTGGGAGGTACAGGCTTCCAGGTGTGGAATGAGTAAGTCACAGGGATGAAAGGCATAGCATAATGAATACAGTCACTGGTACTATTAACAGTGCTGCACGGTGGCAGGTAGTAGCTACACTTGTGGTGAACCTAGCACAATGTATACACCTGAAACTAATATAATGTGTGTCAACTATACTCAAATAAAAAAAACACTTGTTTAATAAATAAATGAAACTGAGGTAGCAATAAGGGTGTTAACATGTAAGGATTTCCAAAATACATGAAAATAAACAAGGTGATGATGGCAGCCAACACTTACTGAGCATATACTATGTGTCACACTCTGTCCTGAAATCCCAGATACATGTTAACCTGTTCAGTGCTGATAGGAAGTAAGCTGAGTCAGAGGGAGGTTGCCCAAGGAGAAACAGCTGGAAAGGTAGGGCCAGGATCCAAACCCAGGCTGGATCCCCAGACTACACTATCCTGTCACCTAAATAGAGAGCGGATTGTGCAGTGTGACTTTATTGGCTTGGTTTTTCAAAGAATATTTTATGTAAGTAGATATTGGTATAACCATAAACCGATATAACACATTAATAACATATACAGAAAGAAATACATGAAACTTTTAATAGTGGTTGCATGCAGAGCAGGACTGGGGGTCTAGGAAAAACATATGGTTCAATTTTCATTTCAAACTCTTTAATGGAATCTGAATTTTTTTATAATGTGCACATATTACTTTTATTTTTCCTTTTTAAGTAAATTATTCCTGTGGAACTTATGACTTCTGTGGGTTACTTCTTCCATTTTCCCTTTAGTCATCTGTTGTTCAAATAACAGCTGCATAAGTGAAAGCTCAAGGGAAACAAAGATGCTAACCACTGCAATCTCCCACCAACTTGTGGCTCACGACACATACAACCTTTTACACTTTATGGACATTAACAACAACAAAAAAAAACTTTGTATATCAGAAAATTGTTTGGTAGAAATGCTTACCTTTTAATTTCAAACTATTTTCCAGTGTTATAAAATTTTCATAGAAGATGAAATATATCTGAGAATAGTTGGTCTCAAAAAACTGCTTAAGATCACTTGCATCCACATTATCTGGAAAGAAAAAGTTTCCACAAGGAAAGGTTATGACGATAACCTTATACAACTATCAGATCTCACAAACAACCTTTTCAGAAATGAAGGACAGTAAAAACTAGCTTTATCCCCCTATGAGACAAAACAGAACAACGAAAATAGTATCCCTATCCATATGTTCTCCACTAAGAGACCTTAATAGGTCTGGGGCCCCTCCCCCCCACACAGACGCTTGCAGGAGATTGATTCAAGGGCATCAGAGCCATGGCGGCACTGCACTCACAGACCAGCTAGGCCAGCGGTGAGTGCAGGTCTGGAGAGGAACAAGATTCCTTCATGTTGAGGGTAAGGAATAATAGTTCATACAGAGGACGTGGCTTTTGACATAGGTCATAAAGAGGGATGAGTTTGTACATGTGAAAAACAATTTTGCTGCCCGAGTCCAACATGGGCCAGTTTCTCCTCCATCCCCACTGACCTGAGAGCAGCTCAGGAGAACTAGCAGATGTTCCCCAGCACACTTCCACTTGGGCCACTGGTTGCAGCCTTCTCTCTCACTCCCAGGTGACCCGTTCCACTCCCGCTTGTACACAGGGAGACCCACCATGTGTTCCTAGAGTTTCCCTTAGCAGTGTTTTCCCCTGTGCACTAGTTCTGCTAAACCAGGGACTGCAGCTATATAGGAAGGTTATGCAGGGAGCTTAGCCCAATGACACGACAGCAGCAACAGAGCCACTTCTTCCAGAGGCCCAACTGTGCCTCCCAACTCTGGTCAGAGCAGTGATCCACTGTCGACACACCTGTGTATGTTTTCCTTGGCAAACAAGGTGCTTGTGCCATTTACCACAGGGTCCTGAACAAAGTGTTAGCTCTTGGGAAGAATACACCAGTAAATCTTGGGAAAATTAAAAACAGTTTCTTTAAATTCTGCAAGGATTATCCAAGATTGCTATTCAATCTACAACAAAGTGGATTCAGTTCCTTTTGGGGTCCTAATACTGTGAATATATGTGAACACATCCATTACGATGTTTAAGTTCTATAAATTTAGCACTAATGCTGGTGAATCTAAGGAGTTGTTGTACTCAGATAACTACATAATCTGATATAGTTCTTCAAAATAATGCACATAAGGTGTTTGTAAAGTCATATGAGCTGTCAATTTCATACTGTATTTCCTGCCCCCCCCCCCAAATAGCACAGAGCAGTGGAAGCTCCTAGTAACTAACAAATTTACCTATGTGAAAGCAGTAGCAATGACACTAGTATGATCATTCTTATACGTGACATAATCTTGCCAAGGAACCCTTGAGTACCTTCCACAGAATGTGCAATTCCCAGAAAGGATTCTGTTCATTTTCACTCCAATACAAACTGCTGGCCGACCCACCACTAACTGTTCCCTCTGAAGCACACTTCACCCGCCAGCTCCTATTAGCACTCACTGGTAGCTGAAACATCCCGAGCCCACCTGGAGACCAGGTCAGTGCCTCTGCTATTGCCCCACAGGCTGGTTCTCCCCAAGTCATAAAACATATACTCTACTTAATTCCTGATGGAATCCCTCCTGATGGAATTCTTGACTTTATTTTGAAGGAATGATCTGTCTTTTCTGTTAGAGATACTACCAAATCTACAGACCCCCAGTCCATCCCACGCATCACTATGTCCCCTACATATAGCACCATATTTATTTAGTTCAATATTTTCTTGAATGAGTTAAATAAAAGAAATAGCCTATAACATACAATGATAGGATAATGACCATAACATGTAAACCATTATATCATATGTCTACAGGAAAGGAATGGCCTAACCCACTTTTAAATCCCTGGTACTATCAAGAGAGAGATTTCACCCCTGTGCTGAGGACTCCAGATTTCACCTTGCAAGCTCTGCCCTCCAAGCCTGCTGCCAGCTGGGTTTCTCCACGTGAGGGTCTACAAGGCTCCTGAAATCAAACATGTCCAAATAAAAGTATTGTTCTCCCCTCAAATTCTGTTCCTCCCTCAGGCCCCACCACCCACCCAGCTGCTTGTCATCCAGGTCCTTCTCACTCTTCACAGCACATCTCTGGTGTGTCAGCTCCACCTCTGTCATGTGCCAGCCCTGGACACTTCTCGCCCTTCACGGCCCTGCCTAGCTTATGTCACCACGAATCCTCGCCTACCTGCAACATGCCCTCTGCCCAGAGTCTGGCTTCCACTTTTCCCCTCCACAGTCCATCCTCCACCATGCAGTCAGCAGAAAACCTTAACAATGTAAATCAAACCAGGCCATTCCTTTGCTCAAAACCTCCCAGTAGCGTCCAATCGCACTTAATAAAATCCAAACTCTTGACCATGGCCTATAAGGCCCTGCATGGTTTCCTCCATTCAATGCCAACTTCATTTCACACCACTCTGTCCTTCACACCCTACATTCCAGCCACAGAGGGTTCTTTCTATCCCTTAAACTTGTCAAACATGTTCTCCATTTGGGGAACCTCTAGTCTGCACTGCCCCCCCCTCCCAGATCTCTATATGGTTCATTCACTCCCATCCTTCAGAACTGGGATCATACATTACCTCTTCAAAGAAATCTGAAAATGCCCCACATGTCATTCTTCACATGTCATCTTATCACCATGCCTTCTTCCTTCCCAAGTTCTGCAATGGATAGATGCTTGACTACTCACCAGTGAAGGGGCCTCAGACACAGAATGCCATTAGCAAGTGAGCTGTTACCCTGGCATTGAGGATGGGAGTGCACTAATGCAGCAAGGTGGCACAGCAAGGTACTGGGATCGATGACTCCCTCATATTTCCTGGGTCCCTCTTGGTCTATCAGAGATACTCAAATAGAGCAACCTCAATAAAGAGGGTCCTAGTCAAGGTTGAGGAACACTCATACAGACTGAGATCCTCTCATGAAGCCAAAAGTCCAGATAATAGCCACCTTCCTCCTCAGCCATTCATCATCACTTGAAGTACTCACTATCAAGACCATTAGATACCTTTAAGGTAACTTGATACACAAGGAAACCAAGAGCATTACATCTATAACATATGCAGTTTTATTTATGTATGTGAGGACTCCTCGCTGGCCTGGAAGTCCTCTTCACATGATTCCCCCCACTACAGCACTTAATATTAGTTGAAATTATCTCATTTATTCATTTACTTCTTCACTGACTGGCACTCAACTAGAATGTAAGCTGCATAAGGGCAGGAATCCCATCTGATTTGTTCACCACTCTAGTTCCAGCCCCAGGAATTGAGCTTGGGACCCAGAAGGTACTCAATACATATTTGTTAAATAACTAAAAAAAAAAAAATAAGCACTAAATATGTTATATCTCTAATTCAATAGCTAGAAGAATTTACTTGTCTTATTGTTAAAAAGCAAGACTCATCAGATGAGTATTTATAAAATAAGCCTAGATCTTGGAGAAGGAAACCACAGGTACTGGAATTTAGCATCCTGCAAAAAGGAACACAAGAAAGCAAGAAAGGGCTATATTTTTAAAGTTTATTTATATATTCTGAGAGAGAGAGAGAGATCACATGAGCAGGGGAGGGGCAGAGAGAGAATCCCAACCAGGCTCCCCACTGTCAGCACGGAGTCTGACATGGGACTCAAACCCACAAACCATGAGATCAAGACCTGAGCCAAAACCAACAGTTGGATGCAGAACTGACTGAGCCACCCAAGTGCCTCAAGGAAGGGCTGCTTTTCAATACGACCAACTCCAAGAAGCATAGAGAGAAGGAGAAAGACTTTGTTCAGAAAAAATAAATGAACAACAATAACAAAAAAAAAAAAAACAACTATGACCAGAAACATCCGTTAGACAGACATTCATTCTTTACCCATTCATTCAAACATTACTGAGCCGGTACCCAGGCCGACCAGCCTTGAGACAAGTGCTAGGAAATTCAAAGAGAGTAAGATGCAGGGCTCTCAAGGGTACAGAAGTAAACAAACAAGTAATGCAAAAGGCAGCATGACCAAAGCTAATGAAGAGCATCAAAGCAGGGAGTGGACAAGGCCACTTGAGGAGGTTGAGAATATTAATAATGCTATATATTCATGCTTTAAAAGACACTTTAAAGAATTTCGTTTATTTGACCCTCACCCATAACCCTGTGAGGTAGATGGGGCAGGTGTGATCAAGATAAAGAAACCACAGGCTCTGGATCTTACATAACCTGCCCAAGGTAACACAGCCAATCAGGGATGTGGGCAGAACTCCTGTCCAGGTCTTCCAACTCCAATCTGAACCACACAGAGGCCTCAGAGACAAGAGGGAATAAATTAAAACCAGAAATCAGGTCAGGAATGTATAAAAATAATCATCACCTTGGGGATTTGCAGGAAAGCCAGATAAAAAAGAGCAGGAAGATAAGCAGACAGGTGAGAAATAATGGGAGTGAGTAGCACTGAAAATGGGAACAGCCAATTTCCCCAAGAAGGAGCCACAGCACTTGGGGTGACCAGTAAGGAAGGGTGCTGAACTATAGAGCTCAGGTGGTAGTGTGCTTTTGAGGTGATGATTTTCACTGTCTTTGGCACAGACATGAGCACATGGCCTAACGATAATAACAAAGCTCAGGGAAGTATGTTCAGACTAAACACAGAGAGGCAAGCAGCAGACAGCTTTACAGAGCTAGAGGGGTCATTTCTGAATTTTTAAAGAAATCCTTAATTTCTCATTCTCCTTTGCAACCAACCAAGAGCCAATAAACTGTTTCTATTATTTTCTCATTTTATCTCAAAAGTATTCTTCTATAATCCATACCAAAAGCTACCCCCTCCCACTCCTCTGTCCAGCTGAAACCTCTTGTTGACAATTCTTTCTCCCTATCTAGCTGAAAGGCAATAGCAAAGGTTGAGGTCAAAAACCTCCAGAGCAGACTGCCTGGGTAAAGTCCAGAAGCTATAGGACCTTGGATAAGTTATTAAGCACTCTCTGCCTCAATTTCAATCTCAGAAATGGGGTCAACAATGGTTCCTATATCACGGGACTGCTGTGGTGA